AACAAAGAAGTTACATGAATTATTCTTTGAAAAGTACAGTTTATGTGGGAGATAAAAATATTTCCAAATGGGCTTAGGTGGAGGGAAGAGAGCTAACAAGGAGGTGTCCTCTGAGGGACCCATGGAGACCAGGGGAGCTAGTACCTCAGGCCTGAGGCTGCCCTTGCAGAGACCCAGTGTGGCGACAATGGTGTGGGCGGTGGCAGGCCTTGCTGGCTCAGTGTGAGCTGTAGCCAATGGCAGGAGGCCTAGACCACCCACTAGAAAGAGGCCTGAGGCTGGGTGGTCCACATCCAAGTGGGGACAGCCCCATATGCAGCCTTGGGGACAAATGGTGATAGGAATGTCTGAAACCCACTCAAGTCCCTAAGCCTCCAGCTCAGACCAGCTTCAGGTCTGAAACTTCCCCAGACCCCTCTTCCCAACAGGCTCTGGGCTTCTCCCCCTGGCCAGCCCCTCTTCCCAGCTGCTCCTTGGCTAAGTTGCCTGCACGGTGTGTGCCTGAAACTAAGACACCATGTCCCTTCCACTGGGGCTGCAGTCAGAACTTCCTGAAACCTGATGGGACCTGGTGTTGGCTAGGAAATGACTGGTTGTGCAGTGGTGAGAGGGCCAAGGGACCCAAGCTGGGAGCAAGAGCAATACAGCCACAGAGTCTGCAGGGCTGACATTTGGGGAGTTTTTAACTCAGGTCAAGTTGATTCTCAATGTCATAGTCTATCAGAGCTGAGAGCACCCCTTGCTGTCAATGGGAAGGCCGGGAAACTGAGGCCAAAGAAGGGACAGGACTCACCCAAGATCACACAGCATGGATAGCAAAACTGGAACAAGGCCTCCGGGTCCAGGGCCTTGACTGGGGTACCAGGCACCTGCCCTACCCCGTTCCTGCCCTGCTGGACAGTATCACCAGAACATTTAGAACCCCTCTCATGTACCCTCCATCCCAGCCAGTGTCCACTGCTGCTGGACAGCTGCTCAATGGGACTGTTCTTTCTCTCAGTACATGAATTGTAGAGGGGACTATCCAGTGTACAGAGAGAAGCCTAGCCCTGTCCCAGTGCCCAGCCTGCCTGCCAGTGGGATCCTTCCTAACAGCCCTTCCCAAAGGGACCCAGGACTTTAGGCTCAGCCTGGACCCCTGGGAGAGTTTCACTAGGGTGTGGGAAAGAGCAAGACTGGGTTAGTAGCCAAGAGCCCAGCCCTATCAATTATTTTGTTCAAGTGGCTTCTCCTCTTAAGACCTCCGTTATCTCAACTACCAAACAGGAGTGAAGACTAGAAAGGATTTCTAAGAAGGCAGCATTTAGCACAGCATCTCACCCAGAAATACCTAAAGTGCCCTCTGCTACCAGCCTGACCTCCACTCAAATCTCTCCTTCTTGGACTGGACTGATACCAAGCATTAAAAACACAGTAGTTGCTGTCAGATCACTTCCAATTCATGGCAGCCTCACGTGTGTCAGAGTAGAACTGCGCTCCACAGGGTTTTCAGTGGCTGATTTTTCAGAAGGAGATCGCCAGGCCTTTTTTCCAAGGTGCCTCTGGGGCGCCAACCTCCAAATTTTCAGTTAGCACCTACCCAGGGACTCCACCAAGCATTAAGCCCACTCCCATTAAGTGGATTCTAAGTCATAGTGACCCTGTAGGACAAGGTAGACCTGCCCCATAGGGTTTCTAAGGCTGTAAATCTTTACAGAAGCAGACTGCCTCATCTTTCTCCCATGGAGCGGCTGGTGGGTTTGAACTGCTGACCTTTTGGTTAGCAGCTCAGTGATTTAACCCAAAGCACAAAAATTTCCTCCAAATTCTGACATGGTGAAGTCACTTTCAGTGACTCTCTGCTCCTCTCCCTGCAGCCCAGGCAGGTAGCAGGGCCAGGTTGGTGCTGGGGGTACAACAAGGCAGCTGGTGGGCCAGCTGCTGGGGGTCAGAACAGTGAGGATAGGGGCAGTGCAGCCAGGCCAGCCAGGAGGGCAGGAGCGGTGTCGGATTACCCAATAAGCATGGGCTTACTTGTGCTTATGTACTAATCTGTAGTGAACAATTTCACAACATCAAAGATTCTGCTTCTAGGTATGGCCAGCATATGTCTCTCTCCCAATCCCACAGCACCTTCCTACAGAGTCAAAGCCCCTTTTCAAATTTACAGTCCCTGATAGGGGAACACATGAAACTGTTCATTTCAGATTAGTCAGTAAACACAAGTAAGCCCGTGCTTCCCTTGCTTATTGGGTGCTCTGTCCCTGGCCGGGAACACCTGTCAGACCCAGAGGACGGTGTGGGCTGAGAGAGCTGGGGAGGAGAAGGGGGCTTGGGCCTGGCTATTTTTAACTCAGCTTAATTTTCCTACCTGGAAACCAACTCCAGCCAGTGGAGTAGCACTGTTCCCGGAATGATTTCATTCCCCGAGACCTGGACTCGCTCAGGTTCCTGGGTCAGGCCTCTCCATTTCACAGGAGCCCTTCATGCCCAGCCCAAGGCTGGGCAGGGAAGAGGGAAACCAGAGCCGGGGCAGCTCTCAGCTCCCGCCTGACCCTGCGAGGCTAGCAGAGGCCCCTGGCCTGTCGTCATCCCCCTTTCACACCAGGGAGGGACCCTGTCCCAGGGTCCGTTTAATTCGTCTATTATGTTTCCCAGACTCGAAGCCTCTAGCTGCCTATTGTCCTGAGCAGGCACTTTACATTTGTGTAAAGATTAGACACGTTAGAACCTTCGCTCTGACTCCCTCTGGTCTTTCTCTTTTACTTTCTCAAATCCGAGTTATTTCTTCCTCGCTACACGCTGCTTCCTTGTTCTCCCTCTCTCTCCCTACCTGTCTTTATCTGCCTCCCTGTTTGTTTTCTTCCCCACCCTGACCCCCTCCTTCTCCAAGCTGACCTGCTTTTTCTTCTTTCTTCTCTTCACGGTTCAGTAGTTTGAATTCTCTATCCACCCCCCCATCACCACCCCAACCCTGCTTAATTCTGTATTTATATGCTCTCTGAGGCTAATAGAAAGGACAGGAGTATTGCTCACCTCATTCCAGAAATGCTCTTCTGAATTCTTAGAGAGGGAGATGTGGGGGAGGGCACTGAGTACTGCAGGAAGAGTCACTTGGGGTGTACTGGAAAGACCAAGATCTGGGTTCTAATGCCTACTTTGACCTGTCAAGGGCCCCCTCTCCCGGCCTCCAGTTCCTCTGGGGCAACAGTGGAGCTGATGCCCAGATGATAACAGCTGTCTATGGCCTTGTGGTGAGTGGGCATTGGAAGGGCCCTGAGCACACATTAGGTATTCAGGAAATTTTAGTTGTTGTTTTCACTGCAGCCTGACCCAGCCTGGGGAAGGAAGACAATGCTGACAGGTGCTTCTCCCCATTGGTTTTGCTCAGCTGTACCAAGATCTCACACAGACATGTGCACGCACACACACACATGTGCATACACATGTGCACATGCATGCACACACATATACATACATGCATACACTGGAAATATCCTAGGAAGATGCAAAGCTGCCTATTTCTTTGTGATCATCTATTCTCCCCCTCATAAATATCTAATAACTAAAGAGCTGCTGAACACTGAATGCTGAATACAGAAGCAAACATTGGGCAGCCTAGGTTCCCAAGGATCTCATTTCCACAATTCAAAGCCAGATATTTGTTCATTCATTTCTCCCTCCCTCAGAGAACACTCCTGGGCTCCTACTGTGTGCCACCCAGGCTTGAGTACGAGGCCCCCAGCTTCTGTCCTCTGTGATGGGGCAGAGAAGCCAGAACGTCATGACTCAGGCAGCCATGAAAGCCAGGCTCTGGGAATTCTGAGGGATGAGAGGGCCTTTCCTGTTGCAGCTAGAGATGGGTTCCCCAGCAGGCACTGGGTGAGAGATGCATTCTGAGCCAGGCCTGTTGGACAGAGAACAGCGGTCAGTTTCAGTATGCCTCTGCTCTGGTCCCCACTGAGGCCTGGCTTCTGGACAAGCAAAGGGGCAGGAGTAGAAGGCCAGCCCCAGGGAGCACCCACACACACACCTTTTTTGTAGAAAGTAGCTACTGAGGTGAACCAAGACATCCTGCCACATCCAAGTGTCCAAGTTGGGAGACCACTCAAGGGCCATTTTGTTGGTGTGCCCAGTGGACCATCTTCTGGAAAGAGCTCTGATGCGACCTTCTTATTCTCAAAGCAGTCTTTGAGCCAAATCAGCTACGAATCTCCCATTTTGCCAAAAAAAAAAAGGAAATTGAGCCCCAGGAGGGATGTCCTTGGTCACAGCTGCACTGCTGAACAGCTTCTGTAAGAATCCCCAAGTCCTGCCACCAGGTCCTGGGCAGGGAAGAAAGGGGGTTGGTTTCTTCTTGAGCTGGGAATGAGACAGTTCCAGGCTGGTGACCCATGTCCTTCACTGAGAAAAGCAGGCCCAGAGAGGGCGTTGACTCACCTAAGGCCACACAGCCCTGACAGGCCTTTCGCCTTCCACACATCTGAAGGGGCAACCTCAACCTGATTGAGTGTGAGGCAACACGGCAGGGTCTCCTCCAAGGAGTGGGGAGAGTTCTGCCCGTAGTACACCCTCTGCCTTCCAAACCTCAGCTCTGAGCAGCCACAGGGAGAGTTAGGGAAGGGGTTTGGGGCACTTTGGGAGTGAGTTGGGAAGCTCAGTGGGTCTGCGTAGGGCCCCTGGGGGGTGCAAGAGAACGTCAGGACTCCCCAAAGTCCTCCTGGAGCAAAGGGAGGAGTGGGGAGTGGCAGCGAGGCATTCCCCCTCCCTCTTGACCCCCTCCCAAGGAGGCCTGGGCGGGCCGAGCGCCCCGGGAGGAGGCGGCGTCCCTGGCGCCTTGCCCGCCGGTGCAGCGGGGCAGGGCTGAACGGGCAGGGGCGGGGCGCCTTGCTGGTATTATAAGCGGTAGCACAGGGCACCAGGGCAGAGAGCTACCGGCTCGCCTCCGCGCAGCAGCAGGACGCTGGCAACAGACGCTCCCTGCTCGGGTCGGTCCAGCCAGCGCTCGCTCCATCATCACCATGGTCTCCGTGCCCACCGCCTGGTGCTCCGTCGCGCTAACCCTACTCGTGGCCCTGCACGAAGGTGAGCGGCCCTGGCCTCGCCCGCCTCCGCAACCCCTGGAGCTGTTCGTTGGGGTCTCCCTCACCGGGCTGCGATGCACCGTCGAGCCAGCTGGGGGCGTACGTGGCCGGAGCATAGTGGCGGCCGCAGGGCTCTGCCAGTGCAGAGGCTCAGCAATATAGGACAGGGCTGGTCAGTCCCACTGAACTGTCGGGGCTTCCCCCGAGCTGGCGCGGCGCTCCTGAGTAGCGACAGTGCCAACTTCCTCGATTATGCAAGAGGAGGGGCCCAGCAGGTCCCCCTGTCCAGGCCATCCTAGTCCTAGATGCCCTGACCCACCTCTCTGCTTCTCTCTTCCTCCTACGCGTGCAGGGAAGGTCCAGAGCGCTGTGGCCACGGAGCAGCCACTGCCCTCAGCCCCTGCCTGGGGCGCCCACCTGCGGCCTCGGCGGTGCTCCTGCAGCTCCTGGCTCGACAAGGAGTGTGTCTACTTCTGCCACCTGGACATCATCTGGGTGAACACTCCAGGGTGAGCTGCCATGGGGAGACAGGCAGGGCTGCTAGAGGTGGGGAGCTGGAGTGGGGGCTGCTGACACGCAAGGAGCTCTGGCACAGTGGAGCTCTCCCTGGGCCTCCAGATGGGGGCATTGCGCTCCTGTCAATAGTTAGCAATTGTTTTAGTTTCCACGTGGGAACTATAGAGGGCTGTCTCCTGGTAATTCTCACATAGGCTGGGGCCAGACCAGGGCACCGAGATCAGAGAGGTTAGTTGCTTTACCCAAGATCACACAAAAAGGAGTAAGTGGCAGGGCAGGATGGAGACTCCCAGGTCAGTGGTTGCCAGAGCTTACACCCACTCTGCCATGCTGCCTCTGCCCTGTCTTCCAAGAATAAATTCCACTCCTGACAGTGCCCATGAGTTGGCTGTGCCAGGCCCTATGCAAGCACAGCACTGCACGCACATTATCATTGAATAAGCCCCCCAGCCACCCTGTGAAGGCAAGCACTAATGTTGTCTTCAAATGACAGATGAGAAGCCTGCCCTGTGTCACCTGGCAGAGCTGGGGTGGGGGCCCAGCACTGTCTGTTCCACGGCACTGCACTGCCTCAGGCCACTGCATACCTCAAATTGTAGTTTCTGTGTGTGTTTGTGTTGGCTTTCTTAAAAATTATTATTCCTTCTCCAAATTGCAAAAGGCAGGAGAAGCCTGCACGTAAGCGTGTGTGGAGCTAATCCACATCCAAACACTCGTTCAGGGTGGGAACTTTGCCAGTCCCTGCGTGCTGGGTCTGCCTCCCAGTCATTACAACTCCAACCACATAGTCTAAAATTAGCTCTGTGACCTGCAGGTGCTGGTCCAGCCAGCCTGGGTCCCCGCCCTGCCCCCTTCCCACCTTGGCCAGATTTAGCACTAAAATCATTCCTCCTGATCATGCACACACTCCCCAACAAACATGCAGCATTTTAAAGTCAGAGTCCTGCAGCGTGTTTGTTACCCTGTTACCCCTCCAGACAGGTGGGTCAGCAGGCAGGGCGCTCATACTTCTATGGAATGGGCTGTGTCTTTGCTTCCTCCGGGGCTAGCTGAGAGCATTCTTTGAGATCAGGAGGACCAGCCTGGCTCCATCCACTCACGTTTCTATCTGGAACTGCAGAGAGATGAGGTTGTTGTTGTTGTTATGTGCCGTCGAGTCGGCCCCGACTCATAGCGACCCCTCCTTGGGTTTCCGAGGCAGTATCACTACGGAGGTAGGATTGCCCAACCTTCCTTCCGAGGAGTGCCTGGTGGCTTTGAACCGCCAGCCTTCTGGTTAGCAGGCAAGTGTCTTAGCCACTATGAGATGAGGAGGACTTGGCAATTCCCAACTGAGGGTGGAACCATCGTTCCCACCCGCATTCTTCTCCATGCTGGAAGCACTTACTGAGCTGAGCCTTGGGCAAACAGGGGCCCAGAGGGAGCAGGGGTCTTTGCCAAGGCCCCCCAGCACCTATAAAGGAGCCTATGGTAGTGCCAGGGCTTCTTGAGGTCAGGGGCTGTGATCTTTCATTGCCGCCCTAGCGGCATGGGTGGCTGTCCCAGTGTGCCTTGTGGATAGTGCTGCTCACCAATGGTCGTGGTTTATCTAATTCTCTATTTCTCTCTCTCTCCCTCTCCCCACCCCACACTACCTTGCTGGCTCCATGCCCACAGACAGACAGCTCCTTACGGCCTGGGAAACCCGCCAAGACGCCGGCGCCGCTCCCTGCCAAGGCGTTGTGAGTGCACCAGTGCCAGGGACCCTGCCTGTGCCACCTTCTGCCATCGAAGGCCTGGTAGGTGGGCACCCAGCCTGCAGGGGTTGGATGGAGGCTGATCTAGACCCACCTTGGGGAGCAGGTGCCCAGGAAACCCGTTCCCAGCTAGAGATCCATAGGCTGCCCTGGGTCTGTGGGTAGCATCACTTTCTGCAAGGAACTAGTCACCCCAAGTCCCTCCCACTGCCCAGCACAGGAACTTCTGAGAGCATTCGTGTCCTCACTCCTGGGTGGGAGGGACTCTCCCCTAGTAACGCTGGGGCAGCTCAGACCCAAAGAGGGGACAGGACTTGTCCTATCAGGCCACACAGCTAATCAGAAGTGGACCTGGGCCTTCGCCATGGTCTATCTGATGAGTCCACTGGGTTCTGCATTTCAACTGGAGGCCCAGGGGAGAAAACATCTGGAGTTGGGAGGCCTCGCACCATCCCACCCCACAAGTGTTACAGAGTTGCTGGAGCCTTTGCCAAGTCCCTTACCTGCCTAGGCCTCTATTTTCCCATCTGTGAAAGGGGAGGGAAACTTTGTTCCTACTATCCTCTGCACTTGGAGCATTTGGGGAAAGCAGAAACTGACTTTACAATCCCAAGCTCCGTTTTGTATGATGGTTTACGAGAAACTCCTCCTTTGGCTCCACCCCTGCCTCAGTTTCCCCTCCAAAGGGCTGTGCTCTGCTGCAGGTGGCCGGATTCTGGGAAAGCCAGCAACCCAGCTGCCTCTTTCTAAGGCTAAACACACATTCCTGGTAGCTCAGTTTTCCTCGCTCCCCACCCCTCCTGGGAAAGGAAAGATGCCAGGTGCACAGGGGTGGAAATGAATCTGCTCTTGAGGGCAGATGGGGTGGGGTGGGGGCTGGGCTGGGCCTGCAGCCAAGTGCTGCAGGGCCCTGACAGCCCCTCACTCAGGCCCTAATGCCATTCATTCAGGGCTGAAGCCATGGCAGTCACTGGCAGTGGGTTCCATTCCAACACATTCCAGGCTGGCAAGACATGACGTCTCCTCAGGAGAGCTCCTCCAGAGACTAAGGTGAGAGGCACCTGCATTGATTGAGTGCTTCCTGTATGCTTTGCACATTTCCTCTGTTCTCCACATGGACCTCTAGTGAGACAGAATTGGGTCTTCATTAAGCAACCAAGAGAACTGAGACCCAGACAGGTGAAGCCACTTGCTTAAAGTCACATAGCAGTTGGTGGCATCTAGCTGACTCCAGTGTCTGTGCTCTTAACTACTAGGCTCTTGGTTACCATTGGGCCTGGAAGTAGACTTTGGTAGAAAGTGGGGGAATATGAGGGCTCAGAACTGTGGAACTCACCATGGTTCAATCAGGCTGTGTCTGAATCAAGTATGTCTCACATGCTGGGGTCTAAAGGGACCAACTGATCAGCTGGCTTCTCTCTGCTGCCCCTGGATCTCCTCCCTGGTGGCATCACCGTGACTCAGTTTGAGGCATGGTGCATAGTAGGTGCCCATGGATGTTTGCTCATTCAAACTAACTTGAGGACACAAACCGAGCATCTGACCCAAAATCTGGTATAGAGGCTCAAGACAGCCTCTGGAGCCAAGTCTGCCTGATTTGAACCCTAGCTCTGCCACAAACAAGCTCTGTGACCTTAGACATGTCACTTAACATCTCTGTGCCTCAGCTTCCTATTTTTGAAACTGGGACAATAGTGCTGTCCATCTCAGGAGTTGTTGTAAGGATTCAATGTGTTGACATGTGTGAAGCATGCCAAGCAGCACAGAAGTATGGGAGCTTTGAAGGGGTCAGCATTCCTGCCCCTGCTACCAATGACTCCTCAGGGCTGGCAGTGCCAGGCCCGGCTCTGCCCCTCAGATGCGTCCATCTTTGAGATGAGGCAGGAGAATAAAGGAAAAAGCAAGATGATGAGAAGGTCAGGGCCTAGTATACTTAGGAACAGGATGGAAATAAGCAGGATAAGACTCTGCAAGTGCATAGCATTTCACAGTGTGCAGAGCTTGCCTTTCTGGCCTGGCATTCACCCTCACACCAGGTCAGGCAAGTTGCCTGCTTTTATTTTACAGACCGAGACAGGGCACTGAGAGGTTGAGACACTGGCCAAGATCCCATAGCTGGGAATGGAAACCAGCCTTCTGGCTTCCAGGCTCAAACTCTTTGAGCCAGGGTGTGGCCACTCAAATGAGACCATGGTCACAACTAGGTACAAAGGACAACTTAGGACCCACATCTCTCTGGGCCAATTAGGAAGAGTAGCCCTGAACTGGACTTCGAGGAATGGGTAGGATCTTAATAGGTGGTATATGATTGAGAAGAAAGGAACATAGACAGAAAGCAATAGCATGAGCAAAGACACAGAGGGGGAAGACCAATCATAGGTGATACATTGGGCTATTGTTGGCCATCCAGTCATTCTGGTGGCATTTGATGCTATTGAGCATCAGCATTGCCAGGGAAGCTTCTAAGCCTGGTCTGGGTCACTTATATGCAGACCTGGCTTGCTGTGTCAGCCATGGCCACCTTCTGACCCCAGAGCAGTCATGATCCCAGGATCAGGCAAGGGTCTCAGTCTCTACTACCCCTGCCTCACATGGGGAGCTCTTAGATGATTCTTATCTCCTGAAATGCTAAATTGACCCCTTTCAATTCCCAGGGACATTTCTGCAATCAAGATCCGCCTTGCCAGGATGCAGCAGAAGACAACAAAGGAGCCCAGGCCCACACATCCCAGGTGGAGGAAGAGATAGCGCTAGGCACCGCACGATCATTGGGAAAGAAGCCCATGAGGAGACAAGAGGAGAAGAACAGCTCAGGGCTTGTGGGAGACCCTCTACTTGTTTCCTGGGGACAGAACCTGGTGCTGGCCAACTGGACTTACTCGCTGGGATTGGCACAAGCTCTGGTCCTTGCTCTGGTGAGGGAGGCTCCCTCCAGGCAGCTCTGTGCCCTCACACTGCCCAGGAAAGCCCTCAGCCCTCAACTGCAGACAGGCTTCCCGGTGCTGGCTCCTGGCCCAGCGACCCTGCTGAAGGAACCACGTGGGGGAGTGTGTGAACCTGGAGTCCACGTTCCTAGGGATGTCCTGTGTGCCATCCTCCAAAGCAGGAGCAGCTGTGCAGCAGGTGGATACTCATACCCAAGCCTCCCCAGGGCTGGTGTCCCCACCGCCCCATCTGTCATCTCCATCTCTCCGTCCCCAAAGTCCTCATACTCTCAACCCTTGGAACATTCCTGGTGAGAAGGGTCTGCTGTGCTTCACCTGTCTGTACATAACTTATTTGCTGTAAGAACTTTGAGGATCCCAATTATTTATTTTAATGTATTTTTTTAGACTCTCAATTATTTACCTGCGAACTTCTGTTTGTAATAAACTATGAAATGATATGCAGGTATTTGATCTTGGCTGGAGGCAGGGGAGGTCCCTCTCAAGTAGGGGCTTCTGGGAGTCAAAGGGACACAAGAAGGAGAGGAAAGGCCCTGGGGCTGGGATACTGGAGCCCTGGGTTAGCCTCTCTCTGCCTAGGTGGTCTCCCTGGCTGCTAACTTGTCTTCTCTGGGCTCTTGCCTGCCACGTGCCTGGACAGCCATTTGAAGCTTTGACAGCCAGGGTTCCAGAACATACATTCTCCCCAGGCCAGGAACCCATCCATGCCCAGGGCTTTCCCGAGAGCATGCTTGGTAGGAGCCAAGTAGGTGAGGGTGCCAAGACCCACATCTGCTCAGCTGCCTGTCCCTTCAGGGGCTGGCTACCAGACCACAGCAAATCTGTCCAGTGAGGGGTGAGGTCAGGTGAATTCTGAGGCTATGTGAGCCCTTGTGGTCAATGATCGGGGCTGTAGGGTATCAAGAGAGGGGCTGCAGCTCCACCGTCTGAGGCTGGCCCCCTCCCTCCCATCCCAGAGTGTAAGGGCAGAAGGCATCCATACCTAGCTGAAGTTTCAGTGTCCTTCAGATAAGCCCTAGCCTCTGTTCGCCTTCCTCTGGCAAAAGGTACTGTCCCCTCTGGTGCCCCACATCCTTCTTGGAAAAAGCTGAATGCTCTCAGCATCTCCAGAGTGGCCTGAGGTGCTGGCCATATCCCATGACCCAAGGACTCTGGGGCGCTGAAGGGCTCCCAGACGCCTCCATAGAGGCTACAGCCCCTGATGTGCCCTGCTCAGCCCCAGAGTTCCCCTTTTTCATCAGGGCCCTGGCTTCAGGATCCTCCTCTCAGCCTAGTCCCTGCCACACTCTCCTCTGACTGCAGTAACCCCAGGCCTTAGGACTGGCTTACCAATCCTGCCAGGGCCCAAGCAGCAGCCCATCTGGGTCCCAGGACCAGCCTGTAGTCGAGGTCGCTCTTGCTGGCTGCCAACTGGACCCACAGTCTCCTTTCCTGTCCAATCCCCCTATAGCAAGCTGTGCTCCTTTCCTGCAGCTGGCCCCTACCAGGAGAGACAGGTGTGGCCTGAGCCAGCTCTCAGGAAATATTTGTGCAAATAATCATTCATGCTCTGCTCTAATCCCGCCTTGTCCATGGGCCCAGACCTGACCCCTCGTGGAAGAATAACAATTACAGTTGAGTTTCTTCATTTTACCCAGATTAACTCATTTCATCCTCAGGACAGCAACCCTATGTATGATATAGGTACTTTCATTATCCCAGTTTTACAGATGAGAAAACTGGTGCAGAGAGAAGGTAAGTGACTTGTCTAAGGTCACACAGCAAGCAAGTGGGGCCATCAGGATTTGAACCAGACGTTCTTGTTCTAGACTCTGTAGTATGTATGTACATACTATTTATTGATTGCATTCATGTATCATTACTGCCAGAAGTGTGACCTTGGACAAATCTCTTCCTCTTTCTGAGCCCATCTACAAAATGAGGAGTAATAGTTCCTACACTCCTTGGAAGGAAGGTTGGGCAATCCTACTTCCATAGTGATACTGCCTCAGAAACCCAAGGGGGGTCGCTATGAGTCGGGGCTGACTCGACGGCAAACAACAACAACCTCATAGGGCTGGTATGATAAGTTATGGCACGGGGCTCAGCCTAGGGCAGGAAAGACTGGGGTTGGCAGGGAGAGGGTGCAGTCAGAGAAAGTCCTCTTGACAAAGTGATACTCCTGTAGCCTCAAAAGATGAGTAAGGAGGGAACAAACAAAGATGAGAAAGGCTCAAATAAAGGCCCTGGGTGGCACAAATGGTTTGTATTCATCTTCTAACCTAAAGGTTGGTGGTTCAAATCTACCCCATGACACCAAGGAAGAAAGGCCTGGCAATCTCCTTCCATAAAGATTATAGCCAAACAAACCCTATAGAGTAGTTCTACTTTTTAACACATGAGGTCACCATAAATTGGAATTGACTTAATGGCAATGGGTTTTAATGAATTAAAAACTCAAATAGAAAATAGGGAATTCCAGGCAACAGGCAGGGTAAAATTATGGAAGTGGGAGTGACAAAGGAGGTTCTATGGAGGACCTGCTTTGGCTGGAGTGTGGTGAAGGGAGAACCACAGAAGATGAAGCCAGAAAGGACTTGAAGGCCAAGTTAAGGAGTCTGGAGTTTATTTTGCAGGCCATGGGGAGCTATGGAAGGTCTGTGAGCAGGAGAGAGACCTGATCAGAGCTGGGCTTTAGCAAGATGCCTCTGGAAGCTGGTTAGGGCTGAAGTGACTGAAAGGACCAAAATAATAATAATAATAATAATTGCCCACCAGGTACTTACTTCCTACTCCAGCCCAGAGGCAGAGCACATCTCACACTGCAGCTGAGCCTGATGCCATGGGATCTCACTCCCTGGCAGCCCAGGAGCCCATTCAAAATGACCTTGGCCCTTGGAAATTCAAAAGGCTTCCCTGATGGTGCAATAAGCCAGGCAGCTGGGTGAGGCAACCCTAGAACCACAAGTATGATGGACAGCTGGCAGAGGGATGAGGAGAGCCTGGTTGAGGTGCATTGGGGGCCCAGGGAAGCTGGCCATTCACTGCCTTTGGCACAAGACCCAGTGGCCCTGGCCAGAGTTCAAAGAGCAATGGATCAGATGATTATGCAAAGAAGATGATTAAGGGGAGGATAGAAAGTCCAGGAAGCAGTGAAAGTGGAGGTGACAGCTTACTTCCTTAGACCCTAGTCCTGGGCAGTGGGGCCTCTGACTTAGGCGCTGCACTTTGGGGAATCCTGCTTTGGCTTCATGCAGCCGTACATCTCTCTATAGGATTAAGTTTGCAGCACCAAGGAGTCATGTGTACCTGAAGTCTGTGCCTGCCTCTAGCCAACCTCCCCAGAAGGATGGTAGAAGATGGAGTAGGATTTGAGAACAGGTAGACAAGAATTTGTGAGGAGCAATTGCCAGGTCAAATGGAACCCCTTATTCTGCCTTGTCAGTAAATACTTACCAGATTTTTTTTTCCAAGGCTTTTGGACTCAAATGTGTGATCCTTTTGTCTGGAACGCTAGGCAGAGATAGACCAGAAGGGGGCACATGGTGATCCCGGTTTATTTGGGTTACATGCACAGGGAGAAGCTGAAGCACGGTGTGGTTAGGTCCTGTGTTCAGGGTTATGCAACGTGAATTCATATCCAGGCAGGTGAGGCTGAGACTGGGCTCTTTCAGGCTTAGGTCTGCCTCTCCCTCCACCCCTCACTCAAGCAAGCCCCGAGAAAACAAAATCAGGGAATACTCTCCTCTCTCTCTCTCTCTCCTCTTCTCTCCCTCTTTCCCTCCCTCCCTCCCTCCCTCTCTTTCTCTCTTTTTCTGATTAAACATAGAGATCAGGGATTTGAGTTTTCAGTTCAGAAAAGTCATTTGCCTATCAGGGCAATAAATCATTGGAATGTGGCCATTGATTCATTCAACAATTATGAATAATCACCTCTGGGAAGACTCTTGGGAGCAAAACAGACACAACCCCTGCCCTCACAGGCCAGTGGGAGAGCGATTCAAGGGAACAGATTGTTAAATACTAAAATATAAATAGTACTTTACATTTATTGAGCACTTACTAAGTACTTAACATATTAACTCCTTAATTCCTGACAGCAATCTTGTGCAGCAGGTTTTATCATTTTTACAGCTTGAAAGAGAAGACGGCTACTATTAAGTGGCTGATCTGTGATTTAAACCCTGGGCTCTTAACTATTATGTTGTCCTATCTTTCTGATAGGGTACATCCACACTGTGACAGGGCCCCTGGGAAAAAGGGAAGCTCAGAATGGCTTCCTGGAGGAGGAGACATACATCTAGGCCAAGTTTTGAAGGAGTCAGTCAAGTGAAAGAGGAGGGTAGAAAACAGTGTTCCAGTGAGAGGGAACAGCATAGGTGAAGGCTCTGTGGGGGGAAAAAGTTTTTGGGAGCTCCTTCCCCAGAAAGTGAAAGAAGGAAGGCCACAGGAAAGGCTGGAGAGAGGACAGGAATAAGCAGTGCCCTTCTGAGTGTGTCCTGAGGAGAGGAGGCTGCAGGCAGGAAAACCTATAGCAGCTGTCACCTCACCTCCCGCCAGATCCTCAGAAAACATCTCCCAGGAGAATCTTCCACCACCAGCTGCCATCAGTCTGATTCCAAGTCATGCCAACCCCACGCGTGTCACAGTAGAACTGTGTTCTATCGCGTTTTCTTTTTTGTTGTTATGTGCCATTGAGTTGGACCCGACTCATAGTGACCCCTCCTTGGGTTTCCGAGGCAGTATCACTACAGAAGTAGATTGCCCAACTTTCCTTCCGAGGAGTGGCTGCTTTTTCAGAGACAGATCACCAGTCCTTTCTTC